TATGTCTGTCACACCTGATACTTTGTGTTTGCTCTTTGTTATCATGTAAATATTGAAAAGGCATCACGGTCCTAAATTCATAAATGCAACACATTCACAGCGTTCAACAACTTCGCAACCCGGTGAATAGGACCCTCTGAGGAGCACATGCACAATCAGTATTGATGAATAATGTGTGAACTTGAATCATCTTGACAGATTGTCCATCAAAGTATTTTATTATTACTGTTCCTATCAAGTGAACATTTAAACATTTAAAAAGATAATTTTATTTTAATATCAGAGACATACGAGTTGTAGAATAACAAGAAACTAAAGAAACCAACACTACTGTGATTTGTTTTTCATCAACTCACTCGTAAATCTGGATGTCACAGTCCTTGAAAAAACATCAGCGCGGTAGAGTTGCCGCATACATCTGTGTTCAAGGATAAAACTAAATGTAGCTAAATGCTCGCTCTGATGGATTACTCATCTCAAGCCTGCTTTAAGTCTACGCAAGTTGATTTTCAAATGGACTGAAATGAGCTGAAACAGGTGGCTGCCTGGAAGGCAGGAAATCAATCTGAGAACTTACGCTACACTTGGCAGTAATGTAAAATGTAGACGATTTGCGCTGCATTTAATGGACTAAAACATGACAAACCATCGGCGTTAGGCAGAGGAGGACCATGTCCATCAAACATTAGCAGGTACACGTACTCTGGTGTGGAACAAATAGCAGAAGTAGCCTTTGGTGTCAGGAGGTGTGCGGGGGCGCGTCGGCTCTGCCTGGCAGGCAGCTGAAAGAGGCCCGCCAGAACACATCAGGATGTTGTGGCGGCTCTTTGATGGAGTGTGTATCACCAGTTAGAATCTGCTGCTGTCTCCAGCGCCTCAGGGTCTCACAGTAGTGGTGGGAGAGACACAGAGAGAGACTACGTATGCACTCAAATCTAAAAAATACACAGCTCTACAGTGATTTGTTCTGCGTTGGGGTTTTTTGCCTGTACTTTGACAAGTCTGCTGATCAGGAATGTTGCAACAAAGACAAAAGAGTGGTAAAGTTAAGATGTGTGGGATTGTCAGGTCTGCACAAACACATCAGTGCAGTTAATTACACCCTCAAAAGGTTACCTGATGTTTCCTGTCTGTATCTCCGCTGTCACGATCTGATAAAGATAACAATGCCTTTTAACTGTAGGTCATAGGATCCGCTCCACAATAGGCAGCTGTATTCGCTGTCAGTCCAGGGAATAAAAGCTCCAGAATTAGATTTGTGAGGCCTTTTACTCACATGATGGACGGTGATCAGGCCTCACTGAGCTGCTGTGAGGAGAAGATGGTCAGGCGTAAATGACTCTCTACACCAGCGGTGCGGTGATGAATGATTTCCCTCGCCTTTCATCGGCACTGTCGGAACTGTTAGATAACCCCAGAGATTTATGGCGCTCCCTGCTGTACTTTCTTCACTCCTGGCCATAACCAAGGTGAAGTTATTCCCAGTGTGGTTTATCAGCCAAAATATAGATGTCAAACAAGGCAGAAAGCTTTGCTCAGTGTTTAACAATAGACTTACCCTAAAAAAACCAATTAGGTCAGTGACCTGCTGTCAAGCATTGTGCCGAGGCCTGTCAACATTCCTCCCAAGTGAGAGTATATCCAGCCATTCTCCCTCTCAGCTAGCAAAACAATCCACACATATTTTGCTTATCTGGTAGGAAAATAGACTCGGCAGTTGCAGCTAAAGACGACTTGGTAAGTGATTTAGAGTTTACGTCATTTGATCCAGGCAGCGTGGAGCTCAACAGAGCTGCTTCATCTGCAGGCTAATGTATGTTTTTATAGATCCAAGTCATATTCAGAAGAGTTTAAGTTGTGTTATTGTAACTCACCTATACCTCCGCCCAACAGTCCCCTTATGAAACCACATTCATTTCACTAGATTTAGATTTTTTTTTTATTTGGATCCACACCAAATTACACACATTCATGAAAATTAAAAAAGCCAGATTCCCGGATCTGTCCCCTGATTCTGATCCTCACCGAAATTAAATGGGTTGTACCCTGACCCATTCCACATCCTTCCACCAAGTTTCAAGGCCGTCAGTCCAGTAGTTTCTGCGTAATGCTGTTCATTAACAAACAAACTAACAGACAAAAACATGGCCTTCTTATCGGAGGTAACAATAACCTGACTGTTCAGATTTGCCAGTTTAAAACTCACATGAGGATGTTGGTTGCACTGGGAGTTGCTGATGTTGATGAGTAATCTCACAAAATTGATTAAAATCTGAAGATGTTGATGTTTCCATGAGCTCCCGAACCCGCCCTGAAATTCCTCTCCGTGACACTAAGCAGTTGTTGAATTAAAGGTTAGATTGTTTTGTTGTGTCCTTTTTTCCCTCTGAGCTCTTCTCTCTGTTCTCTAAGAGCACAGAATGAAGAGACCAAAGAGATGTGGGGAAAGGTCAGAATACGTCTGTTTGGTTGCAAGTGCTGGAGGAACAAAGAAGTCAAAACAGCAGTTGCTGGCAGATGAGCTCAGCTTCCATCAGATATTCATTAGAGTTCTTTGTCTTTTAAATTGTGGGCTTTGATGCGGTGGATAAGCGGCGCATCGCTCACCAGCAGCTCCGGCTGGCACGACGCTGCTGATGAAGTCATCATCTTCTTCTGGGAGTGCAGAGGCGCACAGACTGTTTTTAATCAGGATGAATAATTGAATGAGACAAGGGAGAGCATTTCATATCAGCAGGCCTGATCATCTATCATTGCCATTATCTGCGCCTCTCTCTCTCTCCCGGTGTCTCCACCACTTGTCCGCAGCCTGGCACGTCCTCGGCTCGACTCGCTAGGCTAATTTTCTGTCTGGCGTCAATGGCGGCCAGCCTGCATCTGGATCCCGGATGCTTTTAGTGGTTTGAGCTCCGCATGTGTTTGATAAGGTGATTATAATTTGTTGCCCACCACAAGTCGTCCCACACTGAGGAGCGCAGCAGTTTTGACCATGAAATTAAATGTAGCGACATCAAAACACGGAATCACTTCTGTTTACACGCAAACACATTAATCTTCCCCCAATGTGACTCTCTGACAGGATGGATCCAGCTGACCTCATACAAGCTCCTCACTGACTGTTTTTATTTTATTTCATTCGACAAAATGAACTCCAGATTGTTTTGATCCGTTCCTCTGATGTTGTGAGACTCTTTTTCCTCCCATATTTGCACACGCACTAAATGTCTAAATGCAAAACGTTTCTATTCACAGATATCGATGAATGCAGCATTAATCGTGGGGGGTGTAAATATGGCTGCATCAACTCTCTGGGGAGCTACGAGTGTACCTGTCCACCAGGGTACAAGCTGCACTGGAACAGGAAAGACTGCGTTGGTACGTAGCAGCACTGCCCCTCTGTGGCTGATGCACCGAGTCACACTCTACACACATCAGTCTCCTCTGGCTGTGAAGAAATGTGTGTGTCTCTCTCTCAGCTTTCTCCGTCAACAATGTGGATTTTATTTACAGATATTACCTTATTGCCATTCTAAAGATTATGTTGCGTTATAAGCCAGGGTGGGATGACCAGAAACACACTGGCCTTTATTTATCTGCTGTCTATGTGGGCTCCCATCTAATTAGCTGAAATCACTGCATCCCCTGCAGGTGTTCACTGTTTTTACTGAGCTTAGTAAATCCATGGAATAACACACAGAATAATCTAAAGCTCAGCTTTTTTAGTTTTTTATCTCATCTTATTTTACCTACCGCTGTTCTTGTTTTAGTTGATTTATTTGTTTTCATTGAATCATTTACTTGAAATAAAATTTTGTGAACTGTATTTTTTCCAAAGCCTTTTTTGCAATTTGGCAAGTTTTTGTTTCTTATTTTTGTATTGTTTATTTTCTGTAGTGGTCTAAAATGTAAATGAGCTGTCTACCTACCTTTCCCCTCAGAACTCGTGAAGTGTCTTCCTGGACTAGTGGCACCAAAAGCAACACTGACCTGTAGCAAGACGGGCAAGAAAGAGAGCTGCTCCCTCACCTGTGCCTCTAAAGCTCACTATCTGGCAGGTACGTCCCTCCCAGCGAGAGTCTACTCATGTGATGTCACACAGTAAAACCCTGAAACTCAAAGAGTTCTTTGATTTTTGTTTGTGATCTTTTCCAGAGTCGGACAACAGCTACTCGGTCAGTTGTGGTATCCCCATCCTCAGAGGAAAGTCTCCCTCCAGGCTCAACTCCAGCAACAGTCAGAGCTGCATAGGTTCGATTCCCTCTGGACTCTTATGATCAAACAACAATTCAACTCCACACTGTTTCTGTGTGCTCTTACACGCTGTTGCTGTGTTTGTGTGTAGAGACTCTGGCTCCTCCAGTGAAGCAGACGGCTTCTTTCAAGATTAAAAACGCCAAATGTCACCTGCACCCCAAACTGACCGGCAGGACGGAGGACAGGGGACGGACACTAGGACCAGGTCAGTTTGTGTGTGTGTTTTGTTTAGGTTTGATTTTAATATAATTCTATATATTTTATCTGAATATATCTAG